TAAACTGTTCAATGTGAAATTTCTTAGAAGACTTAGCTTGTTGGTATAACATTTTTGTCAATTTATAAATAACATCAGACAATTTCCTCATTAAGTAGCAGTGAGAGTTTATTTTTAAAAAAGAAGAAAAGAGTAAGTTTCTGAAGGAATGGGGATTACTTCTAAGGGGAAAGGGATGAGCAACAAGGGAGACAGAAATTATCAAAGGCAGACTTCAAAAGCTTCATCATTTCACCCAGGGTCAGCCCTATTCATCTTCATTTGTACATTGACAAATAGTCTTGTAACAAAAGTTCACAGAATCCTGATTCCTTTTCATCCTGGGTGGCCACACAGACTTACTGTAGCAGGACCTGAGGTTATTAAGGTTGGACCAAGTGTTAAGGCAAACATGCTCAATTTTTCCCTCTCTTTATTTTATCTGGGTGGGCCATTTACACTTTCCATGAAGCAAATTTTTCCACCTGGAAAATAATTATAGAAGTAACCTCTTCTGATTCCCACACCAAGATCTTGTAAGGACAAACAAGGTACTATTTTTATTGAGTTCTTGAATATAAGGAAAGACTGTACAAAACAAACAAACAAAACCTATCGCCCATAGATACTTGATTTGAAATTTTTATAAGCCTATACCAAAGTAGGTATATGGCATGCCTTATTATGAGGGAAAGGATTAGCCCGAAAGTAAGCAATCTGAATATCAGAATGGTTTAAGATATATGCAACATACCTTGAAATTAATATAAATAATACACTAACTCAACATTTCTCAAAGTTCTTTGATGGTTATAATCTGCAGCTTGAAGCTATAAGAATCACTGTTGAAACACAGATTCCTAGGCTCCATCCTGTTCTCCATTTCAGAATCCCCAGAGAAGGAGCCTGGGAAAGTATTCTGGTGATTCATTTCTTATGAAACTTGGAAACAATTGCTTGACCTTTTTTTAGAACCACCTGGGGCCTGTGATGATATACACATGCCGGGGCCTCATCACAGACACACTAAATCAATAACTCTTCAAGTGGGCCCCCAGAACTGATGATTTTTGCAGTCTCCTCTAGAAAACTTTATGTCCAGGAAAGTTTGAAAACCATTGCTCTCTTTAACATTTTGCAGTAGGGCAAAGTTGGACTTGCTTTATTAAATACTAAAGAATTCATTTTGAGAACATTACGTGAAGGCAAGTAATGTTTATTAAAATAACAAATTATTGCTTTTTCTTAAGTTATATTTATTCTTTTTAATATTCAGTCATATTACTTAGTAAGCTTTTCATAAACAATGCAAGAGAAAAGTTCAAAGCCATTTATATATTTTTATGACTTATATACTGCTAACGAAAATAACTGTTTTATTATCCAAACACTAAATTCATTGTATTTTATATATTTTCCAAAGTTAGTCAAATTTCCCTTCAAAATATTCAGATAAAAATAGTACATATACAGCTGCATGACTTACTATTTGATTTTTATCTCAAATTGAGACATATTATTTCTAGTCCATTAATACATTTTTCCAAAATAAGGGTCTTTTTGTTTCATTATATTTCATTTATTCATAAATTTATATTTTCTTGTCTCATACTTCTTCTGACATTTTACATTTTTCCTGTATGTCAACTCTCTAATTTTTTCTACATTTTTTCTTTAAATTTTATGGGTTAACATTTTTCTCCTTTAAACTTATTTCTGGTTTTTATTTTTAAAAATTAGATCTATTTTGTGTATATTCATTATTATTAGTGGCTCTCTTCCTTTATCATTGAAAGACATGGAAACTTCCTTTCCTTGAATTTTGAAACCAAAGAACATTTTCTTACAGTGAAGCAGGAAGGCTTGGAACCTTTTAGAATTTGCTTTTTTTATCCATTTGTTTTGCTTTTACTTCTAGAAATTGTCATTCTTACTCCCACATTAATCAAGATTACACGTTAGGAGGCTATGACTGTACAATTCTGCTTCTTTCAACATGGAAAGTTTTGTCAAATTCTTTATATAGCTAATTAGCACGAGTGGAAGAAAATCCACCTGCCCTCGCCTCTGTGAGTTTGCCTTACTAGGAGATCTATTATAATATTATAAGATTATAAGATCGCCATGGTATAAATGTCCTGATACAATGTAGGATCATATCTATATCATTCTGATATCTTTTAACGGTATGATCCATGAAAATGTTTATCATTTTACCCTTAGAAAACTGTTACTAATAAAAATAAATGAAACTAATTCAATATGTTGCTGTGCCTTCATATATTTTTTTATCATATTTTGAATGCCTTCCACATTTCCGAAAATATATTTTGCAATATGGGATACGTAAAAGTGAGTAAGGTTTGATCAACCTGCAGAGGTTTATAACCTAGAAGGAGAAATAAGATACGCAGTGATGTAGCAAAGTGGAAAATGATGCAAGTCTTAAGAAAAATAATTTAGGAACTTACTTTGGGAGATGAGAAAAGGAAAAGCTTTGAGGCATCAGGGCAGGCTTCATATGTAAAAGCAGCATTTGGGCAGAGCTTTAAAGAATGGGTGTCATTGGGGACTGGGAATCAAAGCAGCTGGAGGCTTTCCAGGCAAAGAGAACGGAGTGAGAAAAGATGGAGAGAATTGAGAATTGTAGCAGCTGGGGCATAGTTCAGAGGACTGGGTGATGTGGGGGAAATTGCAGTGGACGTAACTTAATCAGAAATGTGGAGGCACCAATGATACCTAATTGAAGGGGAGAGAATGCCATACAGAGTGCTTGTTAATAGCATTTATTGAGCTCTTACTATGTACCAGGCACTTAGCTAGGCACTTCGTACGCCTTGTGCAATGTAATCCTCACAATAATAGTGTGAAACGTGTGTCAAGTATTATCCCATTTCACAGATAAGGAAAAGGATTAGAGAAGTGAAATGAGCAAGAAAGCTGAGTCGTGAAGTGAATGGCCTCACTGACCCCAAGGGTGAAGTGCGTTTACGGCCTTAGGGATGTTAGCCCCACTGCAGAGTGGAAGGTAGAGTAGAGAAAGCTGGAAACGGAAGGTGGGAACACCATCAGCAGCTGACTACGGTGCTTTAAAAGCCCAAGTAAAGTACAATGAGGGCCTGCCTATAGTGGTGGCAAGTTGATTGGGGGAAAAGTAGATTGTCTGATCTTTAGTAGATTGGCCCTAAGATAACATCAAATGTGTGTCTAAATTAAAGTCTCTTATTACGTCTATCACAACATGCTCTGGATTTCTTTTGTAGCAGTTATCACAAGTTGTAATTATAGGTTTGTGTGGCTGTCTATTTAACATCTCTCTCCCTCTCTAGGCAATAAGGTCCAAAGTTACAGGGACTACGCATGTTAAACCCAACACTCTATCCGTCTACAATAAATATTTACTGAATTTAAGAATGGATGGTGGATAAATAAATGCAGAATAATGACTTCAAGAACTGAGGTAGAAAATTGAGTGCATGGGGTTGGAGTGGTGAGGAGAACAAGGGAAGGGAGAAATTTTTTAAAACACTCTTTCAAGATACGGAGGCTCAGGGATTGTGCATTGCATAGAACGAGGAAACAAGAAAAAGGAACTCACGAAGAGAAAATGGTGCATGATGTTTTCATTTTAAGGCTATATTTCGCAGTATTTACCAATAAGCTCAACCAGTTCAATAGACTTTATTTTTAATTCCACCCTCTTTTTAATATTTAGTTTGCTCTTTTTGAGAACTTTTTAAAAATATATTTTATATAACTGAGTCAAACTAATAAATCTATTTTTTCCCTTTTTCTATTTTATTGATATTATTTAAACAAAATTGGCCAGGATTACACCCTATTTAACTGTGACCTTAGATAATCACTAGCTATGTAGCTCATAAACCTTTTAGTTCTTTGGTAAATTTTTTCTCTTTTTTTCTTTAATTAAACTAATTTTCAGGAGAGCCCTCTTAATTCTGGGAGAATGAATAGTCAGGTTCACAAAATTTCTGAAAATGCTTAGCCACCATGAGTAATGCTCAAAAGATGTTGTCTAAAACTCTGACTCTTTATTCACCTTGACAGAGTGGCAGTAACCAAAAATCAGTCTTAATTAATATCTCTAATTTGAAATGAGTTTCTCATTTCCATCAAAACAAAATAAGTCCTCTTTAAAAATTCATTAAAACCTAAAAAAAAGCATTCTGAATCAATAAACAAACTAAAAAGGACCAAAGATATGAGAGTTCTGAATTATGCTACATATGTTGACATAGTAATAAGAACAGAGGAAGAGCTGGCGAAAAATTTACAAGACTAAGTCTGACTCCAAGATTATTATAAGTGTGTTCTTATCCTGTCTACAAAGAAGAAATTAACATAGAATAGTTCCAAATTGAGAAATTAGGAAAATTTTTGCCACATTTAGAGACTATTTCTTTATGGAATTAGCTTTTTCCCACTTACCCGTATCTCGTTCATATCTCAAGATTTGCAATTAACACCCTACAAAATATACATTGCTCTTTAATTTGTAAAATAAAAACCTAAGCTTTAAACTCAATAAGTAAAGCTTAAAAAATGATACGAGAGATAGCACAGTTAAATAAAATACTAAATTGCAACTCAAACAAAAGTTATCTTCCCATTCCTTACCAACAAATCCAGGACTTGTCTACATCCAATGATTCTGAAAAATTTTCCCCAAGGAAAAGAAGTATAATAATCTGAAATTCAAGAAATGTCTCACACAGAAATGAAAAATGATTTCAGTGCTGTGTGGTTAGAGAATTGTCTCTCAGCAATTTATAATGTGCTTACGACTTAACTGCTTCATGATTTGGTAATCGTCAATAAAAATAATAACAATTGCAATTACAATACCTGAAATATGCGTAGCACATAACAGTATTCATAAAAACCCAAAAGCAACTAAAGATATTATTTTGTTTCACTCATGCATACACATTTGAAAAAGAGGCATCCCAAAGCTTCATATTTATTTTTCTAAAATCATGTTAATTTCTTATTTATTTCAGGCATTACTAGAGACTCAAAATTTACTGCGCACTCAGGTTGCAAATTTTACCTTCAACCTTGGATTTTCAGGGAAGTTTTACCACACAGGTAAGAAGGAGCTTTGTATTCTCAGGGAGCGACATATAAATAGGAGAGAGGATTTTAAATGTTTCATAAGTAGGAGAAATAGAATATCCAGACTGATTATGGGAACAACTTGGGTGCTTTATCTGAGTAGCCGGATCCAAAGATCAATGAGCTTGTTTACCTTGGCAAATACTTTAGAATCAAGGGCGAAAGACGAAGAGAATAGACTTTTTCAACTCAGAAAAAGAAACTGTGACCATTCTTCTAAGTATGACTATACATCCTGTGACTCAGTGTAGTCTAAGTAAAAAGTATAGTGATGCTGATGATGATGACAGTGACGCTATAATAACACTAAAGGACAACGTTTTAAAATTGTGGGATAGTCGAGGTGACAGACATTTTTGTACATATTATTTTCCTTTGGATATTTCCTGGTGATGAGACAGGAATTTTATAGCCTCAAAGAAATTTAATAGAATTTAAGGGTCATCTTGCTTAATTTACCTTCCCTTGCAAAATTTTTTCCTAAAACTATTGCAATAATTTGGCCCAACATGCATTAGAACCATCACCATCGGGCCTGTCTTTCTTCCCATCTCCATGCAGCTACAGCTGCCCTTCTGTTTACTCTCTGACTCTCAACAAATTCTCAGTGTCACCAGTGTGCACGCATGACTCTATGTTCTGATATTTCTCACCTCTTTACCCATCTTCAGCTCCAGAATTTGACTCTTTTTTTCTGAAGATGAGCATTATAATGTCTGGCACTAGTATAAAGAAAATTATGAGCATAACAGTGATTGTCTTATAATAATGACAAAAAATAGTGCAAAATGGTATGTTGGAGCCTGTATTTGGGCAATACCTACTGTCTGCTCTTATTTCTGCATCTGTGGTGAAGCCCAAATGCTGTGGTTAGGACTTTGCGCTGTTGTTATTTCATAGTATCTTAGAGAAAACATTTCAAAGTATGCTTTATGCATGCATGCAGTTTATTGGCTCATTAAAAATATCCTGTGCAAAGGTAGTCTTTAATTATTATAAATGTAGTTCATTTGCCCAAAGAGGCTTTTTAATGTTTACCCTAAGAAGCTCAGCATGGTTTATTAGAATACTGAAGAAACAATGTCTTACTGGCTTTTCTTTAATACTTTTTCCCTCCTGCTTTGAAACATGCAAATCTTTTTAAAGTAATAGAAGGAAAATTAGTATTTAGAATAGTTGATAAATCCAATGACTGCATATTTTAAAAGGACATTTTGCAGAAAGAGATTTGGGTCATCATATCTGCACAGGCAAAGCAATTCCAGCTTACAATTTTGAAAATAGACGTGGTTTTGTAAATCTTCAAAAGCCCCCTCCGGAAATGAATTCAGGCCTAAGAAGCCCTGACTATGAAGTCATAAAGCAGATAACTCTAAAGGCTGTATCTACTCATGCAGGGAAAAAAATATAGGATTATTTGGGGTTCACACGCAAACAATACTATTTTGTCTTAAATAGCTGTATAGTGTAAGTAAAGCCATTCTTTTGGCTGAAATACATCTGGATAACTGCCTCAGCCTTGACTTATTTTACCTATTCATACCTATTAAACTTGCCAGACATTTGCCAAGTTAATGTTGATAGCAGGTTATAACACTTCCCATTTTCTTTTTAAAATCCTGAACGTGTACACAGTACACATCCACTGGAAAACGAACAACACAGTAGATAACATCACAGGGATAATTGTTGGAGTAAGATAACCCCCAAAAAGACATTTTAATTTTATCTCTTAAATGGACCTTATTGCCTCTTTCTGTTGGTACTAACTTAACAAAAATAACAGAAGAAACCCTCTATTCTGTTGTGCTGTGGTGATAGTGCACTTAAGAGATTAAGTAATATGTATATAAATTCCTAAGTCCTAAAAGTTTAATTTCTTTCACATAAATATGAAACTTCAATTGATTTGTTACTTTATCTGTAGAATCATTAAGATGCATCCATAATGTCTTTCCAGGGTGCAATCATATTATATTGAGTACTTATTAATTCACTCAGGGACATCAAGGTCTCTTCCAAGAGCAACGTTAAACGTTCTTGCCCACTCTCCAGAGGGCATGTCTCTTCCCTATGTAGTCACATTCCTATGGAGAGGTTTAACTGTATAGAAAAACCACCGCACATCAGGGAAGTGCTTTCTTTACACTTTGGCTGTGATGTGTAACCATGAGAAGATGGCCTTGTCACAGTGACTGTCTCAGTTCTCTTCCAGGATGATCTGATTTCCCAATGCATAAGGATGCTGATTGATGACCCTCATTGTTTTGAAGACATTTAATCACACATGCCCAGTGTAATAATGATAGATTCTGCATTTCTTAGGCTGCTTCACTTATTTGTATTTTCCAAGTATTCTTTCCTGTTCAGTTTCTCTGCCCTTCATGCTAAAAATCTCACCCAAAAAGGGCGTGTCACTGAGCCTTCTCTAAGTCAGTCACTCACAGGTGCCAAATTGAAAGAGGAAAGACATGCTGCTGATTAAAAGGAAAAAAAAATAAAAGTATAGAGTTAGGAGTAGGCTATTTTAGTCTGGAAATATTTAGAGCTGGATTGGAATTGCACAATGAAAGTTCAATTGAAAACTGGAGACGTTGCAACGTTAAGATGCCTTCTAGGAGTGAGGGGCTGCAAATCTTTGTGTGGGATGTGATTTCTGGTGACAGTTATTGCCATGCTTTGTAATTCAAGATCAACTAAATATGCCTTGATCAATTACCTCATGGATAATATTTGCAAATTGGATAAATATTGGTCTTTTCCATGAGACTTCATTTTACAAAAAATACAGCTTTATATAAATCTATTAACTTTCAAATATGAAATTAAAAATAAAAAAGTATTACATTCATTCTCTTTTGTTTGTTTTGTGTTTAGTTTTGCTTTTCTGGCTAAAGTATTGGTTCAAAGACTAGACACTGGAAACAGACCGCTTTGTTTGAACCCAGGCTCTGATATTGCACTAGCTACGTGAACATAAACAGGTTACTTAATCTTTCGTGCCTCGGTTTTCACATCTCCAAAATGGGAGTAATAATAATACTCTCATATAGAACAGTGCATAGCATGTGCTAAGGGCTATGTAAGTGTGCATCATCACTTTTAAAAGTATTTTTGTATAAGAATCAAATATTGTCAAAAAAGTAAACAGTGAACAATTCGCATGGCTCTATTTTCTAATTTTAGAACTATAGGTAGCTTTTAGTCAATTTCCATCACCAAACATTTCTTTTGGTTTAGTATAATATTTAAAATTAGTTTATTCTATACCTACCTATGTGGAACTGTGCCAGGTTCAGTGTATAAAGAAAATTAGAAACATCTTCTTACCACTTAAGAATTACAATATTTCATACATAGTGAGCAAATATAAGGCAGACATTTGTACAAAAGTGATAATGCAGACATTGGAATTTAATATATCTTATTTTAATGTTAGAACTGTGCCTTAGAGGAATTAACCTATAGCCAGATCTTGCTAAAATTATTCTTATCATAAAGTACTTTTAGAAACATACTGTTATCTCATGAAATAGATCCTCCAAAAGTGGCAACACAGAAATGAACTCTAAAATATTTTACTTCTAAATTAAAAGACTTTCTCTTCTCTGGGAACCAGGAAAAGTAAAAGGACATAACTTTTAAATGAGAACAAAAAAACCGTATTTTTAATTAATAATGATATAGATTTGAATCTAGATCAAGTTAGAAGTGAAAAGCTCAATTTGAACACAGACATTTTAAGGGTCTGTGGTCGCATGTGAACTACAAATTATATTCTCAATATAATTTAAGCATAAATTACGTATAGGAAAATAAATGTTTACGGTGAGTCAAAAATGTATTATTTTCATTTAGTCAGATTTGAAAACGTTTGAAATTCTGCTTTGGTCCCTCAGCATGACTTGGTATGATATTTTTCATTAAGCTATTTCTAGTGTCACGAGCTTGCCTTATGTGGCTTTGAATTATATGACCTGTATAAAATAGAGAAAGGCTGACGGGAAATTAATCCATGAAGTGAAAAAAAAGTTTTAAATATCCCTCTCAACCTTGTGAGGAGTGTTTATAAATTAACGCACTTTCTGGTATAAGAATTACTAAGATTTTATGATTAGTCACATACCTGTTTGTATCAATAGTCTCAAAATTTTCTTAAAATTGAATAATTGACCTCCTTCCTGGTCAAGTATGCATTATGTGCTTTCTGCCACTTCCAATAACAATCAGGGCAGTTTAAAGTGAATGGAAGCATTTCTCAAACATTCTGTATTCAAAGCACACAGAATGGGGAACGGACTATCAATTCATTCACTGCATGTGACATAAAGTAACTCTTTCTAATCTATGCCTCAGTTGGCTGAATTACGGCCAGGAGAAACACTTGGTCTACAGCATCAACACTTCATGCTTGAACTCCATCTGAGGAAGTAATAAACTTCCCTTCCTTTGGATTTCAGTATGTGATATTCTTAATATATTAACAAAGTCGGTGAAGTATAAGTCTGTAGTACTAACAATTTTAGTTAAAATTAACAAAAATTAAGAATTTTGTCTGCTCATCTTATTCATAGGACTTTGTCATTTTTAAAAGTTCTGTTTCTTTACTCTTTGTGTAGCATCACCTGTTGTGGTAGTAACAGTGCCAAAACTCTGATTAAACTTGGTGGTCCTCACACCTTTTGAGGACTATGGTTTACGGTCTGTGTTCCGGGAATAATGCACATATGTAAATACAAACAAAAGTTGGCATGCACGCCAGCAGACATATGAAGCTTCTAAAGTTCACTGACTTTATATTAATACAGACTGAATTAAATTAATCACTTATTTGCTGCTCTGGGGAAGTGGTGTGAGACACTGCAAGTGAGAGGGATCCAGTCCCTGACTTTAGAAATTAATAATCTAGGCAGGCAATATTTTTAGGAATGTGTGAAAATATGTAAATTTAGAACACCACAGTTATAAACCAATAGATATTATTTTTAGGAAGAAAGTGGTCCTAATATTTATGAAATGCTTACGATCTGCAAGTCGCAATATTAAGTGCTTTAATAAATCGATCTCATTGATTCTTCACAAAGAGACTAGGAGATGGGTATTTATATCCCCCGTTTCACATTAGGAAACTGAGTCTTAGAGAAGTCAACTTGTCCAAGATCACATAATCAAGTAAATGGCAGAAGTAGGGACTCTAATCCAGGTATCAATTAACACCAAATCCATGCTTTAAATATTTCATGGCACTACTGCGTGATCAATGGAATCTTTACCATAGGACACACAAGTGGAGTATTTGGAGAAGACTCTTAAAAAAAAGACCTTTAATATTTATTTGGTTAATTTAAGTAAAGAATATAAAATCAAGCAGCCATCTATAAAACATACTCTCTCTTGAAAAAATAAGCGAAATAAATACACCTCACACTATAAGCCAAGATTTATTTTACTTTACTTATTTAGTCAAGTATCTAGAGACCAAATAGTAATCAGTTCTTATATTATTGATTCAGGACACTTTTAAATTGGACTGAATATTGTAAAATTATATAAAAACTATGATTTCGTACAGTGAAAATATTCTAGGATGGCTGCGACATAGTAAGTTTCCTTAGAAGTAAATTGTTGTTGTTGTTTTTCTTTTTTTTCTCACTTGTGGCGTGACAAATGGTTTTTTCTATTCTTAACAAATTTTCCTAATGGAGGATGAGAAATTAATATTAGTTTTAAATTCTCATGTCAAGTTTTTATTGTGTTAATAGATTCATTGTTTAAATTTTATGAAATATTTGTGTTAAAGTGAGAAATGTTTACGTTTATAACGTTAAGTTAAAAACGTAAGGCAAAAAAATTATTTAGACAATAAGAGCTCAGTTTTTGAAAAAATAAGTAGACAAAGATTTAAGGAAAGACATCAAAATGTCTGCACCAGTTGGTTCTGGAAGATAGTGTTTGTTTTGCTTTGTTTCTGTTTTGAACTTTATATATCACTTGCCTGTGCTTTCCATATTTCTTCAATAAGCATATACTATTTTTATAATCAGAAAAAAATTAAACTTAGTTAAATTTTAAGGTTAATTATAGATTTATATGTAAGAATATTTTTAAGAGTAAAAGTAATAATTATCTCTGATCAGATTTCCCCTATGCATGCAATAAGGAGAGAATTATTGATTTTCAAACAAAAATAAACCATCTAAAACTAGCTCTATTTTTTTATTACCGCCATATGCTAGCATTTCGAAACAATGTCAGTGATAAAATACCCCTAAATTCTAAATTGAACAACTATTTGAGACCAGCACACCTACCCCACCCCATCCCACTCTCCAACCCCACTGCCTCTGATGTGATTTAGACTATGGTCTAGGCTATTTTTTTTTATTAAAGCAACACAAAACTGGATTTATGTATCAGTAATAAGAAGTATAACAAAAATCTGACAAACATAACCTTTAAGCTAATACAAAATTTTCACTTAAGCCATTTTTAACTGTATGTTTTACAGGAACTGAAGAGGAAGATGAAGGAGATGACCTTTTGCTCCGGTCTGTGGATGAGTTCTGGTGGTTCCCTCACATGTGGAGCCACATGCAGCCCCACCTCTTCCATAATGAGTCATCTTTGGTGGAGCAGATGATTCTCAACAAAGAATTTGCACTGGTGAGCACGTTTGATTGCAGTATTTTTCAAACCAAGAGTTGTGATCTATTAGTGGATTGTAAAATCAATTTATTGGGTTGAATCCAATAGAAATAGAATAGAACAGAAAATATCAGAGTATATCACATTATTGAGTGCATATTGCTTTGTGTTATTTTCTTTCCCACATGTGTGTGTATACGTATTGGGTCATGATGTGACATAAAATGTATTTCAAAAAGTAGGCCATTGTCAGAAAGTTACCATCTGCTGTTTTATGGAAGGCTTATTCTTGCATTTATGAAAAGGAAAAATAGTGTTTTCTCCATCGTATTCCTGGCGCATTATAATTACCCTCTCGAAAGGCATTTGTTGCAGGGATGAATAAGTGGATGAATGAATTGAATCATTAGAGTAACCAATACGTCATAGGATTGTTTTGAGGATACGTATAACATGCTTAGAGCAGTGCCTGGCATACAGTAAGCACTCAATATGTGTTCATCAACAATTATGACCTCTCTAAATGCAGACAAGGAAGCAGTTAGGTCTTGCTTTACAAAAGTCAGATTTTTTTTTAAATATAGATTTACAAAAGGTTGATCTTCACTTTATTTTTAGGGGATATCTAATAAATTTTTTACTACTTCACAGCATTGTAAAATTAAGTAAATATTCCCTTTTCAAAAAATAAACTTACCTTGAGTCAGCATACTGACTTCTTTCTGTGCAGTTACCCTGAAAATAGACTGCGTTTATCATTGGCTTAAACCTCCCTCACCTCACTCCCACTCCGAAGGCTTGCTTTTTGGCATGTAGGTTATATTTCATAATGGTTGATTTCACCTGTTTGTGTAATTTCTTTTTTAAAAGCTATGCCGAGAGCCCTGGGAAAGACTCAGATGTAATTGCTTTGTAATGAAATGTTGAAAGCTATTTAGAACCCATTCAGAACAATTACATTTGTTTATAAAGTGTGGCTAGAAGCTACACTGAAGTCTATAAATAAATTTTGGAAAATAAAAGCTTATTATATGTTGCATAATCAAAGTATTACAATTGAAATGAAGCCCATTAAACACACATACTCAAATGACATTGTCTTTTTCCTTCTGGTGTTCACGTCAATGAAACTTCTCAGGGGTGCTGGCCTGGTGGTGTAGTAGTTAAGCTGAGCACCCTCTACTCCAGGGGCCCAGGCTTCTCACATTCGGATCCCAGGTGTGGACCTACACCACTCACGAAAGCCATACTGTGGCAGCGACCCTCGTACAAAATAGAAGAAGATTGGCTCAGGTTCAATCTTCCTAAAGCAAAAAGAAGAGGATTGGTAACAGGTGTTAGCTTAGGGTCAATCTTCCTCACCAAAACAGAAAAAAAAATGAAAAATTAAAAAATAAAACTTCTCAGGGCTCTTCAAGCAGTGACATTCAAAACCCCACTTTTAACTGTAAACATAGGGTGACAATATGTGTGTTGTCCAGACAACCAGGAAATATATTTCTTTCTTATTGAATTATTACTTTTCCATATCCAGATGACACTTCACAACCATCACCAGTATCAGGATGGGATAGGACAGTGAAAAGCACTAAATGAGATATTGGCAGGCTATGTTTTACTCCTGACTGCTAGTTACAAGTTCTAATACAGTTGGCAACTCATTTAATGTCTTCATACCTCGGTTTCCTCCCCTGAAATGGTAATGATTCCCTTTTTCATTTTCTAAACTACAAAGTATTTAGATAATTAATTTACATCAGCTCATCTGCCAACCAAAGGCGCTGGACTAGACAATCCGTTGATCAATTCCAATTCTAAAATTCTGTGATCATGGACAGCATCAGCCCACAAATTTGGAATGAACATCTTGAAATACTTATCTACCTGCAATTGAAGCAATTATGGAAAGAGATTTTCAGACTAAATGAGAAATTTATACTGAAAGAAATCAAAAGTGTTTAAATTTCCTTTTTTATTCCATCCTGGCATTTCTCGCTATTCCTTGATGTGACCTTGGCTGGCGGTGCAATTATTAGTAAAAAGCGCAGTTGTTCTTACAACATTTATAAAAGTGATTCAAATGACATATTGATAGCTTCATGTTAATATTTCAAAAACAGTTAATCAATCAAAAGGATTTTATTTGTAGAATTTCTCTGAATTCTCTCTGGATAGAGTTCATTTTCTGTTGTAATATGTCTAAAAATCAAGAGAGAAACACATTGCAAGACTGTTTCTTTATGTTTCATCATGTTAGATGAAACACATTAGTTAGATGAAACGTTAATTAGAAAGAAACTTTTTTATGGTAAAGCATTGTCATTTCTTAATTCATGCACACTTATGTATGCAGTGTGATTGTACGTGTGTGTGTGTAGAGGGGTTATGTGTAGATGCTTAATCCATGAGCACGTGTGTATGCAATATGAGTGTGTTTATGTGTGCATATATATGTATATGTGTGCTAAATCCATGAACATGTATGCCACGTGTGTGCATGTGTGTGTATGTTTGTATAGAGGGTGTTAGTTGAGTCATAAGTGTAGTCAACCAAGATATGTTGATTACAAGATACTACATTTACATGGCAGTAGCAAAAATATTTTTGACTCTTTTAATAAATCACACATTTTTGCTGCCATTCACTTCCTTGAGCATGTCACTAAATAGACGCAACACTTTAGACAATAGACTAACAAAGGCTAAAGAGAATGAGAAACATTGGCTAACATTAATGTGCTTGATGAAAAAGCTACCAAAAATTGCTCCTGCCTTATCCACATCTCTTGTTCAAAACCAGAGAGAAGGGTGCCTATAGCATAAACTTAAATTATTTATTTTTACTTCACAATAGACTTGTGAGGGAAAAAAGAAATTAAGAAATGGTGTTTTGTTGTTTTAAGTTTTGTGTAGATTCATTAAAATTTCTAAATGAGTGGGGCCTTTCAGATCACTCATAGCAGTAGACCATAAAATACCCCGGAGGAAAAAAGGCCACTTTTTGTCTTCAATGCTAACTTTTCAATAATGATGTGGATTTTTCTTGACATTTCATGGGAACAGTTGCATATCTTATTCATGAGTAAATAAGTGAAGGATTCTTGAAATAAAGGCATAAGTTTTTAAATTTTGCTTTTAAAATGCTACACATATTTATTAACTCTATGTAACTTTTTTCGTAATTAGACACAATATTCCGATATGAAAAATGCTGACATTTAAATTGCTCTCATATAAACCCAAATTCATCAAAAGAGCAACTATGGAAAATCTTTAAGTGTCATAATGGCCTGCGCAGTAAATCAGCTATGTAGAAGTTTTAATTAAAAAATAAAGGGAGTATGAGAGTGGGATTGATGGCACAATGAAATAGAACTGAGAGTGAGCTGCCTTCCAATAGCTACTCTGCCGACCTCCTTACTAAGCCGTGCAGTATACAGCCTTGTGCTGGACAATACGAGAGGTCAAGAAACCCTGATACTTACAACTAATAGGCTATTTCAAAGATAGGAAGTTTGGTGAAGTCAAAAGTACAATTTTGACTAAATACTGATTTAATGAAAGTTTACTATGGAGCGAATACTGTCTTTTGAAGGTTCAGTAATAGATAGGGCTATCTGTACATTCAGCAGAGTAGACACTTACATGAGCAGGAAGAATTGAAATAAAATATAAAGAAACAAAACATCCTAGCACAGAAAAATTTGAAACATGTTTGGCAATCGCATGAGTTCTTGAGGGATCCTGTGGAATACACACCTATGTAGTACAAATATCTATGTAAATAACTTCAGTAACTGAGTGCATTCATTATGTACTCCTTCATAACAGATTAACCCAAAATTTACTGACTTAACACATTAATATCTAACAGTCTATATAGATGAAAAACTTGAATACGACTTAATTGGATCCTGTGGTTCAGGGTCTCTCACAAGATTTCAATCAAGATGTCAGTTGAGGCGGCAGTCATTTCAAGACTCACCTGGAGGGTGGACCAGCTCACAAGCTCACTCCCGTGGTTGTTGACAAGATTCAGTTCCTCACCAGTTGTTGGATTGCCGACCTCAGTTCCTGTTCAGATGTTGTGCCCATCTGGCCTCACTTCCTTGCCATGTGGGCCACTCCACAGGGCAACTTGCAACATGGCAGTTGGCTTCATGAGAGCTGAGGAGAAGGACAGAGGGAAGAAGGACGGGAGAAAGAGAGAGAGAGAGAGAGAGAGAGAGAGAGAGAGAGAAATTCAGAGTCTTTTATAACCTAATCTCAGAGTGATATCCCATCATTTTTACCATTTACTATTCATTAGAAGTCAGTCAGTAGGTCTAGGGCAAACTCAAAGGGAGGGGAATAAAAGAAGGGAGTGAACACAGGAAGAGGAAATCCTTGGATGTCATTATGGAAGCTACATTCATATCCAACCAGAAGTAAGAAGTATAGAGAATCCTGTACAATAGAACTCACATGTATTCCTTCACTAATTTAAAAAATATTTGCATATGAACTTTGAACATTGAACTCAATCTCTATCCTAAAGTTTAAGGCCAATTACATCATTCCAATCCAAAGATATTGGATTCATCTGACTCTTCTCTTTCTCTTATTCAATCCATTGCTTCCACTTGAAAATATATTTAGAACTGATGAATTCTCACCACCTCTACTATCTACTTAGTCTCAGTTACCATTGTATCTTTTTTTTATCAGCTTCATTGATATTGGTATTAACATATCACACAATTCACTGATGTAAAGCGTAAACTTCAAGGGTTTTCAGTGTATTCACAGATTTGTGCAAAGTTCACCATGATCAACTTCAGAACATTTTTATCACCTCAGATAGAAAGCCTGTACCCATCAGTAGTCATTCTTTCTCTCTCCCAACTCCCCCAACCTTAAGAACTCACTAATTTACTTTCTAGCTCTATAGATTTGCCTATTCTGAACATTTCATATACATGCAATCATACAGTATCTTTTATGATTAGTTTTTTTTTTTTACTTAGCATAGTGTTTTT